CTGGAGGAGGTCTGGCTCCTGGGAGGGGGGCGTGTCCTCAGCAGAGCTCCGGGAGCAAGCGCAGCCTAGTCCTGAGGCCAGGCTTTGGAGTCCACGCGCCCAGGTCCACTTCCAGCTCTGGCACTTCCTACCTGTGTGACCTCGGAGGACTCATTTCCGTCCTCTCTGAGCCTCGGTTTCCTTCTTTTCTTCCTTTCCTTTTTCTTTTCCTTCTTTTCTTCCTTCCTTTCTTTCTTTTGAGACAGGGTCTCACTCTGTCAGCCAGGCTGGAGTGCAGTGGTGCAGTCTCAGCTCACTGCAGCCTCGACTTGCCGGGAAGTCTCCAGTGATCCTCCCACCTCAGCCTCCCGCAGTAGCTGGGACTACAGGTGCACGCCACCACACCTGGGTAATTTTTGTACTTTTTGTAGGGACCAGCTCTCATGAGGAGACCCAGGCTGGTCTTGAACTCCGGGGCTCCAGTGATCCGCCCACCTCAGCCTCTCAAAGTGCTGGAATTACAGGCATGAGTCGCCATGCCTGGCATGAGCCTCGGTTTCCTTATCTGCAAAATGGGGGATAATAATAGTACTTGTCTCATATGGTGTTGGAGAATGAAATGACAATTTTAAGTCCTTAGAGCAGGTAGCAAGCAGTGCTAGCTACCCAAGGGTCAGAGGCAGGGCCACCCATCATCCTCAACAGCTGCTGCAGCTTTTGTAAATAAAGTTTTACTGAAACACAGCCATGGCATAATTCATTTACATAATGTCTGCAGCTGGTTTTGCTCTAAAATGCTAGAACTGAGTAGTTGTGACAAAAACTGTATGGCCTGAAAAACCAAAAATATGTACTATGTGGCTTTTTATTTGTTTGTTTTTGAGATGCAGTCTTGCTCTGTTGTCCAGGCTGGAGTGCAGTGGCTTGATCTTGGCTCACTGCAACCTCTGTCTCCTGGATTCAAGCGATTCTCCTGCCTCAGCCTCCAGAGTAGCTGGGACTACAGGCGTGTGCCACCACGCACAGCTAGTTTTTGTGTTTTTAGTAGAGTTTCACCATGTTGGCCAGGCTGATCTCGAATTCTTGACCTCAGGTGATCCACCCACCTCAGCCTCCCAAAGTACTGGGATTAAAGGTGTGAGCCACTGCGCCCAGCCTTTCTGTCTGGCTTTTTACAGAAAACATTTGTTCATCTTTGCCTTAGAGTCTAGCACATAGTGGTTATTATTATTATTATTACTGTTACTATTCCAGCACCCTCCTCTCGGGTTGCACAGCCTGGTGAAGTAGGGGAAGCAGCGTCAACCTTTCCTTCATTGTTTTCTGGTTCAATAAAGATGTTTTATCAATCTTCCATGCACCTGGTCCCTGCCTGCAGGGAGCTCCCTGTCTACAATGGGGAGATAGACAAGTCACCATTCAGAGTCCACTATAACAGAGGAAGTCAGGGGCGTCCAGAGGAAACACCGGACACAGCTAGGAGTGGGGAGGTGTCCAGGAAGGCTTCCTGGAGGAGGGGACACGTGGGCTGAAAGATGAGGAGGGTTTAGCCAGGAAGCCAATCCATGTGGCGATGGCACGTGGAAGAAGGAAGATCCAGACTTCAGTTTGAAAAATGTGTGTCCTGGTCAGGCATGGCGGCTCACGGCTATAATCCCAGCACTTTGGGGAGTTGAGGTGGGTGGATCGCTTGAGCTCAGAAGTTCAAGAACAGCCTGGACAACATGGCGAAACCGTCTCTACAATAAATACAAAAAGTAGCTGGGTGTGGTGTGCCTGTAGTCCCAGCCACTTGAAAGACTGACGTGGGAGGATGGCTTGAGCCCAGCAGGTGGAAGTTGCAGTGAGCTGAGATTGTGCCAGTGCACTCCAGTCTGGGCAACAGAGCCAGACTCTGTCTAAAAAAAAAAAAAAGAAAAAAAGAAAGAAAGAAAAGGAAATAAAGAAATATGTGTGTCCCTGAGTTGCCTCTCACCTCTCAGAGCCTTTCTTTCCTCGTAAGAAGAATGGGGCCACTGAACCTCAGTGCTGTGAGTGCTGAATCTGCTGTCAGGTTCTGCAGGTCTGCTCCGAGCCTTAGTTTCCCTCCTTTGTCCTCCTCTATCTCACACTGAGCAGAAGGACCTGGGGCTTGTTTTGAGCATTGCATGGGGAGGAACTGCTTAGCAATTGTCCTTCTTTCTGACCTTGAAGTGGAGTGACTGAGGTGAAGCTCCAGGAATGGCCCAGAAGGCTTCTGATGGGGAGGTGCAGAGGGAGGGGCTGGGGAGACCCCTTTCAGCTCCAGTCCCCAGGCTGGCTCCAGAGCACGTCCCAACTACACGCCTTGGGGAATCCCTCCCTACTCCGTCCTTATTCTCTTGCCTGGCTTGGCTGAGGGGATCAAGCAGTTTGAGCAGCTTCTCAGGCCCTGAATAGGTGCTGATAGGGGCAACAGCAGTGAGGAGCTCCTAAATGTTTAACAAGCAGCAGACAGAAACTCTAACTTGTAGAACTTGCCACTTTCTGTGGTGTAAATACTCTTACTGTGGCTGATTTCAAACCACCAACATGTCAACAGGCTCACAAAATTCCTGAACATTTAACAATGGACTCTTTTTTGGTTTTTTGTTTGTTTGTTTTGTTTTTTGAGTTAGAGTCTTGTTCTGTTGCCCAGGCTGGAGTGCAGTGGCATGACCTCAGCTCACTGCAACCTCCACCTCCCAAGTTCAAGCGATTCTCCTGCCTCAGTCTCCTGAGTAGCTGGGACTACAGGTGCCTGCCACCACCCCCAGCTAATTTTTTGTATTTTAGTAGACGAAGTTTCACCATGTAGCCCAGGCTGGTCTTGAACTCCTGAGCACAGGAAATCTGCTTGCTTTGGCCTCCCAAAGTGCTAGGATTACAGGTGTGAGCCACTGTGCCTGGCCCAGTTGACTCTTGTGAGCTGGTACAAGCTGGCTCAGCACAGCACAGCACAGGAGGGGACTGTGGGGGATCTCTTTATGGGGGGCAGTTGCAAGGCCCCAGTGCAAGGCACTCCTGACCACAGGTAAGACAAGCTCTGACATCGGGCATCCTCGGGTTCTAAACCCAGTGCTCAGGTGCCCTGCTGGGGCCCCTGGGCTAGTCTCATCACTTCTCTGAGCCTCGGTTTCCTCATCTATGGAATTAGGTCATCAAAAGCTCCTGCTCTTAAGAGGGTTGTGTGGATTTCATAATTTACATAAAGCATTTAGTGCAGGGCCAGCTTAGTAATGAGTAATGAGCACTTGATGAACGATGCCTCAACTTCCCCATCTGTACACAACGCTGCTAGTCATGGGTTCATAGCTGTTCATGGATTCGTAGCCACTCACGGGGCACCAGGCTTGCCACACAGCGAGTGGTCAGCAAATGCTTGCCACCTTCCTCTATCAGGGCTAGAAGCCGCTCACTTCTCACTTGGCTCTCCCTGAGTCACCTGGCTCATCTGGGTCACCTGGCTCGCCTGCAGGGCTGGGGTCTTAGCCAATTGCACAGAGAGAGCCAGCCCTTCTGACGTGTCTCTTGCACACTGTGGGCTCTCAGGACGTGCTCTCCTTGGTCCTTCCAGCAGTCTCCATGGGAGGTCCTTTCTGAATTCCCATTTTACTGTTGTGATCACTGAGGCCCAGAGCCTGAGTGGCACAGCTGGGATTTGAACCCAGATTCACTTTCTTTGTTGCCAAGCTTTCCTGTGTACAGCACATGTGGGGCTGTGGGGTGGGGGATATATGGGAGGAGGCCTGTGGAGGCTGCACAGATCTGCCAGGAGATGCCCTAGTAGATGCTGCGCAGATGTGGCTCGATAGAGGAAGTTTTTCCAGGCAGAGGCCCCCAAGTGAGCAGAGGTGTGGCAGGGGGGACTTGGCCCCTGGGGGAAAGAGATGTTGGAACATGGGGGTCTCATCATGCAGGAAGATGAGGGCCTAGGTGGACTGGAGCTTTTTCATAGGTTTTGTCTGGGCATTGGGGTCCCTGGAATCCTTGGATTGACACCACCCTGGCAAAGGAGCGAAGTATGAAACCATAGCAGCTGAGATTTAGGTTAGATATGAAGGAGAACTTTCCAGTTGCCCGTGCTGGAAGACGCTGACCTACATTCCCAAGGGATAGGGTGTCATTTTCCCAATCTAGAGATGGTTTGGAAAAAAGAGAAGATGGCCAGGGCTCGGGTTTGACCCCATTGCAGGGCGGGTCAGAGACGGGGCAATGGATCGGGGTGGAAGCAGCTTTGACGCCAGCAGCTTGGCTTCCTGTGAATTGGGCTTTTCCACCCGCTTCTCAAAGCCCTCCCATGGCTCCCAGTCACCCTTGCCCCATTGTAAGGCCAAGCCCCTCCTTGGGGCTACCAAGGCCCCTCGGGACCCGAGCCCTGCCGGCCTCTCTGACCTCATCTTTAGCCCCCTGAGCTTCTTGCTGCTTCTGGATGACACCAAGGCCCCTCATGCGTCCTGGCCTTTGCTCAGGCTGTTCTCTCGGCCTTGGACACCCTTCCCCTTCACCCCACCTCAGCCTTCCTCCTCAGCTCTTGGGCGCCTCTTCACGGCTGGGTCAGATGCCCTCTGGGGACCCCCATCACTCCAACATAGACTCTGTATCATGACTGTTCGGCCCTTGAGGATGGGGGGACTTGGCCTGCCTTGCAGAGTTCACCTGTGTTAGGTGCTCAGGGAGGGCTGGAGGAGGGAGAGGAGTGTCTGTGGGGGCGAGAGGGCTGTGTTCAGGAGGTGCCGTCCTCCTGCTCTGGGAGGCAGCATTGCCCGGCATTAGGGTACCTGAGCACAGAGTGCAGAGTACAGACACCTGGGTTCAAATTCTGTTCCCATCACTGTCCCCCATCAGGTCCCCTACCCTTATGGGACCTCAGCTTGCTGACCTGTAAGCCAGGCACAGTACCAGCCCCCACAACACTCTGGGGCCGTCGTGAGGTCTGTAGGTGGTGGTGGAAGGTGGCTGACCTGCGGACAGCACTCGCCGGATGATGGTGCCAGGCTGACTCTCCTGTCCTCTCCTTGCAGGTGACCGCCATGTCAGTGAGGTTGCGGTTCCTGTCCCCTGGGGACACAGGGGCTGTGGGGCTCGTGGGCCGGAGCGCCTCCTTCGCAGGCTTCAGCAGCGCACAGAGCCGGAGGATTGCGTAAGTTCCGCCCATGTCCTGTGTCGGGGTGCGGGGCGGGGCTTGTTAATGGGCAAGGGCAGGGACATCCTCCTCCTGCTGCCAGAGACCAGAAGGCTCACTCTCAGGCTGGCTTGCAGAGAGAGAGAGAGATTGAGAGAGAGAGAGAGAGAGAGAGAGAGAGAGAGAGAGAGAAAGAGAGAGAGATTGAGAGAAAGAGAGTATCTTGGTGTTGGGATAAACCTATCATTTCCTTGAGACCTGAGTGGTTACCATTTCAAACGCTCCAGAAGTTGATCTGCCTGAGCTTAGCAGGTCCACTTGGCAGATAAAAAAAAAAATGAGGCTCTGGCTAGGCACAGTGACTCACGCCTATAATCCCAGCACTTTGGGAGGCGGAGGCAGGAGGATCACTTGAGCCCAGGAACTTGAGACCAGCCTGGGCAACATAGCACAACCCCATCTCTACAAACATTTTTTTGAAAAACCAAAAAATCAGGTTGGGTGCGGTGGCTCATGCCTGTAACCCCGGCACTTTGGGAGTCCGAGGCGGGCGGATCACTTGAGGTCAGAAGTTTGAGACCACCCTGGCCAATATGGTGAAGCCCCGTTTCTACTAAAAATGCAAAAATTAGTTGGGTGTGGTGGCACGTGCCTGTAATCCCAGCTACTTGGAAAGCTGAGGTGGGAGGATCACTTGAACCTGGGAGGCAGAGGTTGCAGTGAACCGAGATCGCACCACCGCACTCCAGCCTGGGTGACAGAGCAAGATGCCATCTCAAAAAAACCCACAAAAACACCAAAAAAGAAAACCCAAAAAACCAGAGGCTCAGATAGGTGGAGCCACTGACCCAAGATCACAGAGCAAAACTGGCGCAGGGTTGTGTCTCCTAAGGGCGGGGTTGGGAAGGAATGTTCTTCCTGTCTGAAAGACTAGGCAATGGGGCCACCTCTTCTGGCTCTGTGACCTGGGGCAAGTGACCTCACCTCACCAGCCTTGTTGTCTTCATCTGAACAGTGGGAATTGTGGGTGCGCCCTGCTCCTGGGGCTGTCGGGAAGGAATCACGAGGGAGGCAGGGCCAGCAACCCATGTGGCCGGTACCATGGGGGGTTATCAGATGAGGGAGCAGGCTTGGCACAGATGGGCCTGGGGGGCAGCACTGACCCTGTGGCCGAGTTCCCGGGGTTGCTGGCTGGACCAGGCCCTGCCTGCTGCCCCGTCCTGTGTCTCCTCCCGCTTTAGGTACTAAGTCCCTGGGCAGAAGGTTGTTTCTGCTCCCGGAGGCCACAGCCTGATAAGCTCAGGCCTGCTGCCCCCTGGCTCCAGGGCCTCATGCCAGGCACTGTGCAAGCTCTCAGGGAACCGTTGACGAGTGGGCAGGCCTGGGGACTGGGGCAGTTTTCCGATATCCCGAGGGGGCCAAACTTCTGTCTGTCTGAGCCAATGGGGTGGACGGGTGGGGGTCCCCAGCCAGAGCAGAGTGCAGAACCCAGTAGGTCAGTGAGTCAGTCAACAACCAAATCCCACCATGCTCTTCCCCGACTTGAAACCCTGCAGATTCCCATACTGCTTAGAATAAACCCAGTGCCCTCCTGGCCTAGAGGCCCCTGGGACCTGGCCCCAGCAGCTTGCCTCCCTCCCCTCCCAGCCTCAGGGCCTCAGCACACACGTGCCCTCCTCCTGCAGTTCCCGGCCACTCCTCCAGTTCCTGCTGAATCACCTGCAGGCATTGACTTACTGCTAGGTCTTGGGGGAGGACCCTCGATCCCCAGACCAGGCCAGGTCCCTCCTGTGTGTGCTCCCTAAGCTCTTTCCCAGGGGCGTTTGCTGCTGGGATAGGACCCCACCTCCACCCTGCCGAGGTCAGCCCACCCAGCTCACTAACCTTTCCCTGGGGCCTCCCTTCCCATGGGTGCCAGGACCCCAGGGTTAAGATACTGGAGTGTCCCAGCTGAAAGCACCTTAGGAATCCCGGTTCACGCAGCAGATATTCATGGAGCACCTACTCAGGCCGTGTCCTGGGCTTTATCAGAGGCCCTCACTTTCTTGTAGGGGTCTGTAATCAAGGCTGGGAAGGTCAGCTGTGCAGATTACCTGGCTAGGGGGCCATCCAGCCCAGCTGACCCTCTCCAAGCTGTGTGCCCCAGAGTGAGGCTGGTCCACTGAAGCACTATAGGGACCCCTGTGTGGTCTGGAAGGAGGGGTAGGGTCTGCAGACCCTGTAGCCAAGGGCAGCTTCAAGGGCAGGCAGCCTGCGCTCTGTACGGTAATTGAATGCTCTGCCGTTGTGCTCTAGAAACTTTTTTTTGTGGGTCTCACTCTGTCGCCCAGGTTGTAGTGCAGTGGTGCAATTCACTACAGCCTTGACCTTCTTGATTCAAGCGATCCTCCCACCCCAGTCTCTCAAATTTTTTTTTTTTTTTTT